ACTGTTGATGCACTCTCTGTCCTCCTCTGTCTCCATTCATCTCTCGATTCACTGTTCATGCACTCTCTGTCCTCCTCTGTCTCCATTCATCTCTCAATTCACTGTTGATGCACTCTCTGTCCTCCTCTGTCTCAATTCATCTCTCGATTCACTGTTGATGCACTCTCTGTCCTCCTCTGTCTCCATTCATCTCTCGATTCACTGTTGATGCACTCTCTGTCCTCCTCTGTCTCCATTCATCTCTCGATTCACTGTTGATGCACTCTCTGTCCTCCTCTGTCTCCATTCATCTCTCGATTCACTGTTGATGCACTCTCTGTCCTCCTCTGTCTCCATTCATCTCTCGATTCACTGTTGATGCACTCTCTGTCCTCCTCTGTCTCCATTCATCTCTCGATTCACTGTTGATGCACTCTCTGTCCTCCTCTGTCTCCATTCATCTCTCGATTCACTGTTGATGCACTCTCTGTCCTCCTCTGTCTCCATTCATCTCTCGATTCACTGTTGATGCACTCTCTGTCCTCCTCTGTCTCCATTCATCTCTCGATTCACTGTTGATGCACTCTCTGTCCTCCTCTGTCTCCATTCATCTCTCGATCACTGTTGATGCACTCTCTGTCCTCCTCTGTCTCCATTCATCTCTCGATTCACTGTTGATGCACTCTCTGTCCTCCTCTGTCTCAATTCATCTCTCGATTCACTGTTCATGCACTCTCTGTCCTCCTCTGTCTCCATTCATCTCTCGATTCACTGTTGATGCACTCTCTGTCCTCCTCTGTCTCCATTCATCTCTCGATTCACTGTTGATGCACTCTCTGTCCTCCTCTGTCTCCATTCATCTCTCGATTCACTGTTGATGCACTCTCTGTCCTATACTGTCTCCATTCATCTCTCGATTCACTGTTGATGCACTCTCTGTCCTATACTGTCTCAATTCATCTCTCGATTCACTGTTGATGCACTCTCTGTCCTCCTCTGTCTCCATTCATCTCTCGATTCACTGTTGATGCACTCTCTGTCCTCCTCTGTCTCCATTCATCTCTCGATTCACTGTTGATGCACTCTCTGTCCTATACTGTCTCCATTCATCTTTCGATTCACTGTTGATGCACTCTCTGTCCTCCTCTGTCTCCATTCATCTCTCGATTCACTGTTGATGCACTCTCTGTCCTCCTCTGTCTCCATTCATCTCTCGATTCACTGATGATGCACTCTCTGTCCTCCTCTGTCTCCATTCATCTCTCGATTCACTGACCAGGCACCACGTGCCCTTGTCTTGATATCATTTCTTGATTCTCAGGAGATCACAAAATCAATCCCTTTTTTTATTGTCAGCGGGCTTATTATTTGTGTCCAAGTTTCTACACGCTCAGTGTCACTCTGATGCAATTAATGTTTACTTAATTCTCTGTATATTTGTCCTCGCTCCCTCTACTTTCTATCTCCCATGTAAGTTATAACATATAAAGCGTCATATTAACTCAGGCCTACATCATGCTTGTACTAGACTTTATTTGAGCGTTACCGTGGAATTGGCTGGAGAGCGTGCTTGACACTTTCGGTAGTTAAATCAGATGACCCAATGTCCAAAGTATGCCGTCTATCTTTGTTTATCTATGGGTGGCTTTGCAGTCCTCTTTACGAAATAGACTATTTGTATTCTTTAAGGAGAACTCGTAAATACTTTTTAAACAAGATTACAAAGACTGTGTGGAAACTCAAATTCGCCCCCCGAAGTGGCCCACCCAGTCAAGTAAAAGTGGCTGCCTGGTCGTGCGGTTTGCGCGCCCCAAGAGCTCAGCCGATCAAGAGATAGGTGAAAGTGAATATGTAGCTCGATATGAACATAGCCTAACAGATGTCTTGCAATGATTATCTAATTGTTTTGTAAAGGGTCAATCTCTTATTCAAAACCTCAAGAAAAAAAAATTTTCCGTAAAAAAAAAATTCCTTTAGTTAAGTGTTACACATCTGTGGTGCAGCTCTGCTGATTACGCGATAATATGAAAAACTACTTATTAATTGTTGTTTTAAATTATGTTCCACTTATATGTATACTAAATAGATTTTTTTCTTTAAGATATTCTTTCTGAAAATATTGAACCTGCCTTTTTACCTGCCTGTGTGGACAACTACGGGGACCGATTTTGAGTTTGTGTTTCCACACAAACTTTCTTTGTAACCCTGTTTAAATTGTTTTCTATATTTTATTTTTTCGACCATACATAATTATGCAACGTTTCAACTTAATCAGAGAATGGGAAGTGAGAGAAATAACGTGAACAAGATTTGTACCAGACGGACAGACAGACAGACAGAGTGAGTTGATCTAAGCTTCGTAAATAAAAAGCACATTTAAAATGAACCTTGCCCAGGTGATGAATTTGAATTATTTTTATTATTTGTTGTCCACCAAGGCGTTAAACTGGATAAGGAAAGTTTCATTAACAGTGTAGGATAATCTAGATATTAGAATTATGTTGACAATAAACTATCAAACTCTGAGCTGCCCCTTCCCCATCTTAGTATATAAGACTATATATATATATATATATATATATATATATATATATATATATATATATAATGTGTCTGCAACCTTTTGGCTAATGGTGCCCTTTTGCAAGTTGTCTTTACTTTTGTCTGTGTGAATTGTATTTATCTGACTTAACCTGAAGCGCCTGTACTGTAACATTTATAGATAGCACAGGTCGAACTTAAATATCGGAATAAATTTCAAGATAGGTCCGCTGGTGTTTAAAATAAAAGAAAGATATACAAAAAAAAATTCAATCGACTTCATGATGTGAAACTAGATACATCCGTGGTGAAGAATTCTCCTGTGGCCTGGACTACATTCCAACCACTATTGAGCTATTTTCCGAACAATTGTGAACATCAGGACACAACTTTGTAGTTTAAATAGACATTTTTAAATGTTGTCACTGTCTAGGTCCAGGTTGTATAATTATAGTGTAAATAATGGTATTGAAATGTACAACAAGGAGTTGATAATATGTACAACCCATTCCATGCTCTAATAGCGCTATGGAATAAGGAGCTTTGTACAAATTTGTCCTAGCATATGGAACGAGGAATGTGCATTTATCATTGTGCCTTTCTGAGTATTTTATTGAATTTTGTTTTTGTATTTGAAGACTATGGTTCACTGTTTTATGTATAATTGCAATATGGGGATTCCATGACAGTTTTTGAGTTAAGAATCTATACAACAAAGAGTTGATATTACAGTGTGTACAATTTTGAGTGGATAATGTGTACATCAAGGAGTACAATAAGAAGATGATACTATTTACACGTTGATACTATTAGAAAACAAAGAGATAAGTATATGAGCAACAATAAATTAATACTATCTGCACCTAGAAGTTGTTACTATGTGCAACAAGGAGCGGGTGATATTTGCCACAAGGAGTTGATACAAAGTGCAACAAGAATGTAAATTAAAATATAACAAAATAAAAAATAATTTCTTATACCATATTCTGGAATAAATACTATTTCTCCAGATACCTTTAGAGAATACAATATTTCTTTGCTGACACAAAAAAAAACTCGTGTTATATACACATTTTTAAACATTTTTACAAAGCATATTTCAACTCAGTCTGTCCGTTTGTTTTTCTGTCTATTTGTCAGTCTGTCTGTCTGGTAAACTGTTTCTACGATAAACGTTATTTCTCACACATTGGCATAGAGAAAAGACATGAATCAATGAAAGAAAATAACCAAATAGTCAATTATTTACTTGTAACTAATTATTTTGTTGGATACCCACATGGGAAATCAATCTTTCAGTATTATCAGATGTGGCTAAACATGTACGGTCTCGTCCCCTTAGATGATTAAACATTCTTGAATCAAGTTGAAACTTTAAGCAATTATTTGTTATACCTAACTGAACATGAATCAATTAAAATATTAACCAATTAATCAATTATGTATTAGCTATTTATTATTTTATTTGATATCGTATAAAGGAAATAACTTCTGATTATTAAGAGATATAGTTATAAGCGCGGAGTCTTTCGCTTAGATAAGCTTTATTAAAAGAAAAAAAAAAAGAATGTATATTTTGCTTGTTAATTGTTACCTAGTGTCAGTACATTTTGGTTTCTTATAGTTATAATGTTTTTTGTTTGGTGTAATGCACAAATTGTAAGACAAATATCCATACGGACAATAAAGATTATTATTATTATTATTATTAAAGACACGAACTGATATACAAGATAGAGCCACTAGACACGTGGATTGTTTAACACACAAGTCCTGCTTCCGGGGTGCATCGATAACAAATCGAAAGGATAAACACACCCCAGTTTGAGTTATAAAACAAGAAATTACCTTACAGATAACGATTGTATTATTACGGTGCCGGCTTTAACTGTATTTTAGCCTAAGGCTGCTTTTGTTTTCTTGTTTTAATGATTCGCTGAAATCGAATTGTTTCTATGGACATTTTTCCATTTGGGTTTATTCCAAGGACGAATAGGAGATTGCTTCTTGGTAGAAGATCGTAAGGTTTTTGTTATGTACATCTACTACAGTCATACATTCTATCTATCTATCTATCTATCTATCCATCTATCTATCTATCTATCTATCTATCTATCTATCTATCTATCTATCTATTTATCTATCTATCAATCTATCTATCTATATTAATCTATCTATCTATCTTTATCTATCTATCTTTACCAATCTATCTATCTATCATCTATCTATCTATCTTCATATTTAGATATATAGCTAACTCTGTATGACGTCTTCGCCTTGTATTACAAATCTTGCTAAATTTATGAAATATCGGGTGTCCAGCTGTATCTGCATGCATGACGTCAAAGCAGCATACGTCATTCTGCACAATGACGTCATACACAATCGTAGGACAAACTTTGTCATTTGGCAAAACTATTTCTTCCACCTGCTCTCTTGTCGCTTACCTAGGATGTCTCGTTTCTTCGTGTTTCTTGTTCGCTGTGATTTAACCGAGGCCGTTACGTGTATTCTCAAGCAATAACAGCCTGATGTTGTATTATTTACCCAAGAATACCCGTAAGAGACACGGCAATGCAAACATTCTTAGAACCTTTCTTCGGCGTGACGTCTTCATCTCTTTGATTCTCTTCAGGTGCGTTGGTGTCCGACTAGAAGGATTTCTTCCAAGAAGATGCAAACTTTTCCGTACGGAGTGTATAGAAGCCTAATCGTTCGTCCATATGAATGGCCAAGTCACGATTGCTATATTCAGAACAGGCCACTGCCCAATCAGCGCCTATCAAGAAGAATTTAGACTCTCGCTATCGACACTGCCACCTAAACACGTAAACTATAGAGCCGGTTCAATACGAATGCACGATAGTAGACAATAATAAGTTACGAAGGACTTTCAGGGACGGAATGGCTATATGGGCATTTGGGCAATTGACCGGTGGGCTGGTATTCAAATAGGCCTGTAGGGCCACTAAAAGGGTCGCATGGATGCAACTATGGCACATATCAAATTGTTAAAGGTTTATAATATTCTTTGATAAGAGTACATCTGATCGTCATGTTAACAGAATCAGATTCTACAGTGTAATACTTTTTCTTTTAATCTAACAATTTACGAAATAATGTAATTTAAGAGCCTTCATCCGTAGAAGGTGCTACTAGGGGGCAACATCCTTTTAGGGCCTATATTTCTGTAAAGATATAGAGTTCACTGTATGCTTGAATATCGATACATTATCAAACTTAACATAATGACTTTGAGGACAGGTAGACCTACAAATGGATGCCCAACATATAATATAGAATTTGTGGGCCGGATTTTGACACCCAGTCCGACCCTGGACTCGTGGGTTTGTGAGTTGGACAATGGGGGTCTTACACGATTCCGGGACCACGGTTTATCTTTTTGTCTTCACATTTCAGAAGTCAGTCGGCACCAAAACGTTATCTGCTGACCAGCACCCTCCACTTACTATGTTAAACAGCGTCCAACTGTGTTACTTCTCTATCCGACGATATTATCTGGCCGTGGTTTCTTTCACATACCTTCTGTGTGGCTTAGACGTACTCTGTTAACTCATTCTCTCCTAATTGACAATACCAACGTTGATTCGACTCCATTAAATTAAATTGAATTTTTTGGTTTTAATGAGCTTTAATGTGCATTGTGTAAAAACAGCATGCCATTCTATTTAACTCTGTTAACCTAATATTACATTTTCTGATCACAAACAAAACGTTATTGAAGTTTAAATATAATACGATACCATATGCAAACGAGAAAAATGAATAATTCCATTGAAACATGAAAATAATTTACGGACAGAAAGAGTTAAGATCTTGGTTAATAACTCAATAGGAACTATAGTAAAAGACTTTCTTTTAGTATTAGAGTACGGTGGCTGAGTCGTAAAGCGAATGATTTCCGAATCAAGGAGTTTTGGATAGAATTCAGATGAAGTCTGGGATTTTTGTTTAATTTCTGGATTTTTAGGGCGCCCTGAGTTCGCCCAACTCTGATGGATACCAAACATAAGTTGTTAAAAAGAAAGTAAAAGTGGTTGATCGTTGTGCTGGCCACATGACAGCCTCGTAGCGGTGGGCCACTGAGACAGATGATCCCGTAGATTGAAAGAAAAAAAGAGATTTCTTTGTGTATATTTTCTATATTTTCATCACAGTAATCTAATAAATGCCTGCGATCAGCTAACGTATAGTGTATGGATTCTCATTTAACAATCTTTTACAAAATTAACTTTATTCGTGACAAATATCAGATGCGAAAAAATCACCAGGAAATTCGCTGCATCTGTTCCAAGATATTTGTTTAACTCTTTTACTGCTCTACCATGAAAAAAATATATAAAAACTGTGGCCACTTAATTGGCAGCTGCTTGTGGTAGCTAAAGAGTTAAACATTGTGTTAACCCTTTGAAATCCATTTACATTTCAGCGTGAAGTTTGTAAAACGAGAACGCCATTGACACACGCCGGGTCAATATTGTACTTGTGTTGGCATGGCAAAGAAAGGACATGTGAGTGTGCGCGCGTGTGTATGGAAAAAAACAGGAGGGGGGGGGGAAGACGAAGTGGAACTTAATCGTCACATGTATTTGTGTGTATATATAGAACTAGCAACATATACAAAATAGAAAAGCAAAGTTGTTGGGGTTTTTACAGGGGAAGAACTCCACAATTAAAGCAATATGTCTCTACTCTGTAAGATTTATTTCCCCTTTAAGATATCAAGCAAAATTAATTAATTAACACTATTAATTAACTTTTTTTTTTATTACGAAACGTGCACATTTCAACTTGATCCCAAAATGATAAATGGGAGAAACAACGTGTTCAAAATACGTGACAGACAGACAGACAGACAGACAGAGTTATCATAAACGTTGTTATAAGAAATTATGCACAAGTTATTTTTATTTATTTGGTTGGTGCATGACAGTGGCGTAGCTAGGGATTTGGGGACCCCGTGGCTTCACCTCTTTGACATTCGACATCATGAAATAAGATAATATATGATATTTTTAAAAAAGCTCGGAAACTCATTTGGGGGACCTCTTCAAGTGGGGGGCCCGAGGAATTTTCAAATTTGGACGCCCCCCCCTCCCACCTTCTACAATAGCTACGCCACTGGTTCATGGGTCTAAATGCTAACTGTTAACAATAAGGTCTGTCTTTCACTTCGAAGATTAAGGAGTGCATTATTTCACGTGGCCTCGCAGTCCTAGCTATGACCTACATATTTTGCTAAATCCAACGCAGACATAACCATTGTCCACTGGTGGTTGGTTTAAGCTCTCTTTATGCCGTCTACGCATGTCCTCGGGAAAAAAAAAAGTACTTATCCCTTTTGTTCTCAAATGTGTATGTAACCCGAGGCGTTTGTAAGCAATATTTATCTCTTGTCTCGTTCGGAAGCCGCCTGTTGCCAGGTGTTCTCTTCTATGTCAGAAAATGTGTCCATAGTCACAACAAATATAAGTTATGAGATGTACACCAATATCTAACATGATATCATAAAACATGTATGATGTAGCCAATGTACCTTTCCCGTTGCGCCTTCTCTGCGGCTTAAATGTGTATTAGAGAGGAAGTGGCTTAGCTAAGGTGGGGAGATGAGGGGGAGAATTAGAAAATCTCCCGGGCCCCCACATGAAGGGGTCCCCCTCCCCCAAATGAGTGCTTTTTTACATTAAAAACTAAATATTACACAAAATGCTGGGGTCCCCAAAGAAGTCAAGCCCCCCTTGCCCCCAAACGATGGAAAATTCCTAGCTACGCCCCTGTAGATAGACACTCCCTATTGACCTCGTAGAGACAGGTAAAGAGGTCCAGTAATCTACAAGCTTATTATGACGGGAGGAAAAGGATTGATGACAATGTTTTGCTAGTTGCAGAAGATTGAATGAGTCCATTATATAGAAAACTACAAACAAGTTCTTTCGAATAGTTTGTTTGCTTTATGCAGACAGTTCAACACAGTTTTCGATTACGTCATTGCAGTTAGTTGGTTGTTTTTATGCCTAGCATTAGTTGTTTGATAATTAAGTCATCTATATAACTGTTGGCTATTTGGAGCTGTACGCAAGAATGTCAAGTGGGTTGAAATGTGTAATAGAAAGCGTGTGTAGAGTCCATTATATAGATAATTATAAACATAAATAGTTTTTTTTTTTGCTTTATACAGACAGCTCAACACAGTTTTTGATGACGTCATTGCAGTTAGTTTTTTTTAAATGCTTAGTATTACTTGTTTGATAATGAGAGTCAATCCATATTTCAGTTGGCTATTTGTGAGCTTTAGGCAAGAATGTCAAGTGGGTTGAAATGTGTAATAGAAAGCGTGTGTAAAGTCGGAGAAGTTTTTTTAAAGCGGGATTGGAGGTGTATAGTCGTCTGCTGGGTGAAGGAGAAGAAACAAAAAAGAAATAGGAATGAACATTATGACCCAAGTGGGTTAACCAGGGGGGGTGACGTCGTTCAATGCTTCAGATTTAGTAACCGACGGCATGTAACCTCCGGACCCTACCTTTCCTTGAAACAATGATGAAGTATGCGCTGAAGACGCCAGTAGAATACATTTCTGCAACCCAAATGTAACAAATCGCTTGAACAACCAAATTCCGCGCTTCCCCAGTCCCCTAATGAAATACCTTTTTCGTTGTTGGGGGAGGGGGAGTGTTATGGAGAGTGTGTGTGCTTGTTTATTTCTATGGTGACGGTGGGAAGAGGTTAGCGATTGGTTAGAGGCTACGTTGTGTAAGATAAGCGGCATTGTCGTAAGTTTGTCTTGGGTAGGCCACAGACGACTCCAGATAGCCAGAGTGAAAAGACGTGTTTTTGTCGTGAGTTAGATTTTGTCCAGAACACCATTTTATATAATTACTAAAGTCTAGTACATTTATTTATTTCATATAAAGTTTCAATATGTCTATATTGTAAAAAAAAAAAAATTAATTAGTGTAGTTTACAAAGAGACGTTAGTAAAGTTATTTCAAATTTTACAAGTTAAGATATAATACGTCTACAGCGGTTTAGTTGTCTACCAGCAGTTAGGTGCTACAAGTCAACGACCGCCAACAACAGGGAGTTACAATAAAAAGAAACACTGCTATAAACGGTATAAAAAAACTAAACATTACGTAACGCTACTGAGAACATTAAGAAATGAAGACTATTCGCAAATGACTTTTATATAATGTTAGGAATGGTAAAAGGCGCGGTGGCTGAGCGGTGAAGCGCTTGACTTCCGAACCGAAGGTCCCGGGTTCGAATCTCGGCAAAGATGTATTTTTAATTTCGGGATCCTTGGGCGCCTCAAAGTTCACCCAGCTCTAATGGGAACCTGACATTAGTTGGGGCAAAGTAAAGGCGGTTAGGTTGTGCTGGCCACATGACACCCTTTTTTATTTTGTAAGCCGTTGACCACAGAAACATAACCTTTACAGCATCTGTCCTAAAGACTGCAAGGTCTGAAAAGGAACTTTACTCATTTCTCCAATTGTGTGTAATATGTTTTCAACCCAATTAAACGGTAAATGCTTTATTATTTCTCATTTTAAACTATTTG